TATGTGGGAGTGCCAGCAAAAACTTCGCAAGGGAACTGTCAAGAAAAGAACTGAGGTGCTGGGAATTTAGCTCAGTGGCATCTCGCCTGCCTGGCAAGCGCAAGACTCTGAGCTTGATCCCCAGTACAAAAAAAAAAAATCAAAAGAAAAGAAAAGAACAGTGCTGCCGGCCAGAAAAAGTGTCACAATGGTTTACAAAGTGGTGCTGTCCTTTTACAATTTGCTGTGAGGCCTTTGTGTCCCACCATCATAAAGAGAAGCAAGTGCCAGGAGTGGGGGCCCAGGCCAGTAATCCCTAATCCCAGCACTCTGGACGCTGAGGCAGGAGGATCACTGTAAATTTGTGGCTACTCTGGGATACACAGTGAGACCTTTTGTCAAAAACCCCAAAATCAAAAAAGAATAAACAAACAAACAAATGGAGTCAAGTACAGCCAACAAATAGTGTAGGGCCCTACTATTAGCATAAGCCTGCACACAGTGATTACCAAAACCAAACAAAATATACTTATATATATGAGATAAAATCCTCATTTAGGTTAATGTTTAATATCAAATATAAAGGAAGAATGTACATATCCAATTTGAAGTAATGCAGCCCACTAGTTAAGAGTTTATAAGGGGGGGCCGGGGATTTAGCTCAGTGGTTCCGGCGCCTGCCTTGCAAGCGCAAGGTCCCAAGTTTGATCCCCGGTACCAAAAAAAAAAAAAGTCTATTAGGAGACCTTGGTTCAAAATGACTGACCTTCATATTCTCCCCTACCCCAGTTAGGACTTAACCGAACTAGTAGTGCCATTCCAAATGATCTGATGGGAAAGTCCTGAAGACTGCAGAAGCCAGGCATGGGAGTGTCCTTCTGTAATCCCAGCCACTGAGACTTGAGAGACTGAGGCAAGGGAATCTCAAATTTGAGGAGAAACTGGGTAATTTCACGAGATCATGTCTCAACATAAAATTTTAAAAGGGAAAGGGCTCGTGGTAGAGCACTTATCTAATATAAATGAGGGCTTGGGGGTCAATCCTCCCTCAGTACTGGGTTAAGAAAAAAAGACTATATATAAAATGAAAAGACCTGAACCCTTCAGCCTCTATCCAGGTTCAAGTTTGGATTTAGACACCTTCAGGCTACTTCCAGCTTGAATACTCAAAGTTCTCTAGTTTCAGAAAATAGCTACTCATGAATAGCAAAGCTATATTACTTTAAGACACCAATTCAAGTTCAAAGTATTCCATTTTGTAACCCAGGGCCTATGATTTCCATAGTCATTTACTCAAGACAAATTCATTAACAACTCCAAGCTAAGCACTGCTCCAGGCACTAGCAGTGAGAGTGTATTTTAAATAAGACAACCTGGAAACTACAAAAACTAAAGCTGAATTAATTTAGGGATTTTTTTTCCTAAAATCCTCATCAACATAGGATTACCCTGCCCCCAAGTCACCTGATGCTCCCTTTTATTGTGTGTGCCCAATAAATGATGGCTACCTCGGAGAATCTTTGTCTTTGCCCACCCTGAGGCACTGACCTCCGGCCCCCCATACACTTTGAAATTACACAAGTCTCTTTTGTCTTTTTTTCTTTAGCTCTCGCCGACCCCCTTTCTAGGCAGTGGGAGGACTGACCACCCTCTGATAAATTATGACATGTACACTGTTTTCACAGACATGGAATAGCAATACTTGAGTTTGTTATCATGATTACACTACTGAATGCTCCTTAATAGATATTTAAAATTGCTCAGCAGAAGAGCTTCATTTCATTCCTTAGGTGTGGATTTCTTTTGAGTGAAAAATAACAGATAGAGTCGGGATTTAGCTCAGAGGTGCTGCCACCTGCCTCGAAAACGCAACATCCGAGTTCAACCCCTAGTAACAAAAAAACCAAAACAAAAACCAGATATATATTACTATATACTGAGATGTTATATTTTTTTCTGAAAAGAAATATTGCATAGGAGAAAATTAAAAGGCTATGCTGGCCACATAGAAAATGCTAAACAGGGCTGGGGATTTAGCTCAGTGGTTCCACCACCTGCTTTGCAAGTGCAAGGACGGAGTTCGATCCTCAGCACCAAAAAAAAAAAAAAAGAAAGAAAAGAAAAGAAAATGCTAAACAGTATTATTTCTACCTTTTTTGTACCTAATAACATTCAAATAGGGTTACATACAAAGTAGGTACTGAAATTTTTAAGGTAGAAATTTTCTTTGTTTTTCATTAAAAAGACAAAACAGAACCCCAAACAACAACAAGAAAAAAACCACTGCACATCACAATGCTATTATAGCATCATCAGTATCACACCATGGAAGGTTTGAAAAGTAGGAAGGAGAAATTAGAGCAAATCCCACCATTCAGCCACACTGCCTTCTACACAGGTTCCTGAGGAAGCCGTGAGCAGCTATTTCGCTCCTTATTACTTATAGCCCAGTAAGTAAGGATTCAAAAGGGACGATCAGAGAGAGGTTAATGAATCCACCTCAACTTTCAGTACCAGACACATGGAATGAATCCTTGCCGTTTATTTTCACAAACCAACAAGAGACTACATAAGGGGAACTCTCAAAAGAGCAAAACAAAACTTTATTATTGAGAAATTCACATGCTAATGAGCAACTGTTATTACCCCAGAAGTCAGGACAAAAGATTGATCACGAGACTTCTGGGAACCTTAATGTGCTCTATTTCTTAGTGGGTAGTTGTTTCACAAGTACAGTACTCACTTTATAACTGTAAACAAACTTGTACACTTCTATTTTATGACCTTTTTCATTGATGTATCCCATAACGAACAGTATTGATTGAAGGGGGGGATATCACACTGAACAACATCCCCAGCCTTTTTAAACTTTTTTTTTTTTACATTTTGAGAGAGAGTTTTGCTAAGTCACTAAATTGCCCAGGCTGGACTCAAACTTGTAATCCTCCTGCCTCAGCCAGACTGCTGGAATTACAGCCATGTGCCACCATACCCAGCAGAATATCGTTCATGTTTAATAGCATTATTATATTTCATGATTGAAGATTCATAAATAAAATCATTACACCATTAGGGAAAATAAAAACTAAGGTAGACATATCAGATAGGGCTAAGAAAAACATACTGTACTACACCAGTGTTGTTATTTCTAACAGTAAATGGATGCTGCATTTCATGGCAGTTTTTAAGATGGCCCCAGTGGTCACCACCTCTGGGTTTCTACAGTGTTGCACAGTCCCTCCTACATTGAGCAGGGCGACCCATATGGTCATTTCCAAGGATCAGCTCAAAGGCTCAGGAGCCTCCCACCCGCCCATTACTTGGCAGCCAGGCTCTGTGGAAAGGAGCATTTGGAAAGTCCTGGGACCAGGAGCAGCCAGGAGAGACCTCTGGCCTCCCAGGAATGGGTCTGCACTACCTCACCCAGCCAGGGGTCCAGGGGGCATAGCCTTAGCAGGGACTAAAGACTAGCAGGACTCTCCACTGCTCGGAAGCTCTAATCCATGGAACCTGGTCTGAATATTGCAGTAACTGTCCAGCAGCAATAGATCCTTCATGCAGGTTTTATTATTGAATTCTTAGGATACCATTTAGCAACCTGATAACACACTCCTTCCTACCTACAATACTTCAAAGGCGTCATGGAATAAACTTCAAAGCTCCACCATGGGCCACAAAACCATCTGCCTATCTTTTTACCCTCACCTGGTTCTATTCCCTACCTCCTCAAATTCTGACTTTTTTTGAGACATGGTTGCAAAACATATAGTTCAGAGTGCTCTTGAACTTACTATGTATCCCAAGCTGGGCTGCAACTCAGAGATCCCCCTGCCTCAGTTTCCACAGTGCTGGCATTATAGGTGTATGCATCTCCATACTTGCCTCTGACATTATTTTTTTAAATATACCTTTTTGGGAGCCAGGGATTTAGCTCAGTGGTTCTGCCACTTGCCTCAAAAGCGCAAGCTCCTGAGTTTGATCCCCAGTGCCAAAAAAAAAAATTTAAAAATACCTTTTTGGGCCAGGTATGGTGCCATACGCCTGTAATCCCAGCATGTGGGAGGCTGAGGCAGGAGGATCACCACAAGTTTGAGGACAGCCTGGGCTACATAGTGAGTTCAAGGGCACCTTGGACTACCTAGAGACCCTGTCTCAAAAAACCCCCCAAAACCCAAACTATTTCGCCCTTTAGAAAAAACAAAACAACAAAAATTCTACCCTTATGCTTACTTAACCTTTGTCCTTGGTGTTTCTCTACTTTGGACTATCTTCTCACACATTCTTAGGGTTATTTTACTTTTCAAACTTGGATCCTTTTTTGTCATTCATCTCTGTATCTCTCTTTTGGAGATGTGGGTCTCTGTTGCCCAGGCTGGGCTTGAATTTACGGGCTCAAGGAATCCTCCCACCTCAGCATCCTAAATAGCTGAGACTACAGGTTCCTGCCACTACACCATCTCATCCAACTCTCAGTGCAAACGTCCCTTCCCAGGCAGGCACAGCCCATGACCCTAGAGGGATCTGCTGAGACTCAAGAGAAAACAGCACCATTGCAGCAACCTAAAATGGGAGCCAGTCTGTGAGAATCATCAAGTGTATGTGAAGGAAAGAAGAAACTCATGGTAGAGAATTTAAAAAGGAGAAATAAATTTATTATGATAAATTATAGAAAAACCTAACATCTGTAACTACTCTTTCAGTGTTTAAAACAAAAGATGACACCTATTTAAATATTCCAAAGGTGTAAACCTGCACCAAAATACAAATCCCAGGTAAGGAGAGATTGCTTCTTTGCTATCTGCCTATAAGAGTGGCTATTCTTGTCTTTTTTTTTTTTTTAAGAGCAAAGGTCTCACTATGTAGTTCAAGTTGGCCTTGAACTCACTATGGCTGGCCTCAAACTTGTAATCCTCCTGCCTCAGCCTCCTGAGAGTGCCTATTTTTCTAGGCAAAATTTTCATATATTACTTAACCTGTGGGATCAATCTATTTACCAACTTTTACCAACACAAAGTACTTACCCACTTAGCGACTGGACACCCCTGTGAGCTTTTCCCTTCTTTTCCGGTGTACACAACTTTTTCTATCCTTATCGCCTTTCCTTTTTGGCCGTACCTGAATGCAAAACACAGGGAAAGAATGTTCTCATCAATCATCATCCAACCTTGACAACTGTAGCTTTTAACATCTATGTGCACATCAGATAGAGGTGAACACAAGTTCAAAAGTGAAATACTCCTAAGCATTTCCTTTTGTTCACAACTTGCTTTTGTGTGGCCGATTACTTTTGTTATCCAGTTTGGTTTACTTTTCCTTAAAGATCACTCTTTAAAAACAGCCTGGGTTCTAAACAAGCAATGGCTAGTGTGGTTTGCGGGGGTAATCTGAATGATCTCTCGCATTAGACGATGAAATACGGAGGGTAACAGAAACCTGAGTCCACGCTGTGCCCGCGCCTGCGCCCTGAAAGCGCGGGCGGCCCCTGAGGAAGGCTGCCTCTCCATCCGGGTCACATCGTCCCAAGGGCCTCGCTCTGCATCCTCAGGTCAGGTCCAGGATAGAGAAGGGTTTTAATGGGGACGCGCATTTCCTCACCTATTCTCCATGATTTCCCTGACAGCAGCAACACTTGGTCCTGCCCCCAGGTGTGTATAATATGGGCCTTTGTCTTTTTGTATACCTCGATCTGTGGAAGGAACAAGATCATTAGACCCAAAGCTTTACAGAAGTGCATAGGGGCAAGGAAGAGCTATTTTTCTTTTTTTCTTTTTAAATTTAGAATGATGATTATTGACAAGGTTTTGGTTAGGGTTGATAATTAAGGACAAGGGCAGTAGGTACGGAATTTAACTTGTTAATATTGCTTTCCTACTCCTAATTCTACCTCCAAGAATCAGAGGAGAAAAAATATTTCAAGGTATGGGGCATGTTTATTCTCTCATGTCCTGCTTTAAAAAAATTTCTTTTTGGTTATAATTGAGGTACAAATTAAATGTTATCCAAGACCAACAAATGTGAAAAGCTTGGCCACAGAATTTTACTAAATTTCAGCCCAGAAATTTTACTGTTGAGAATTAATTTTACTATACACTTGCACAGTTATATACTTATAATGTAAACGTACATGAAACGTTTCTTGTTGCAATTATCTGTAGTATCAAAAAGAGGAGCAACCCTAACATATCAAGAAGTGAAAGGTTAAGTAAATAAATTACAGGAAGCTTATATAGTGGAATACAAGAAAGTTATTGAAACAATTAAAAAGGTACTATTAAGTTAAAGAGGCAGGGTTGCAAAAAATACTGTTTTACCTTGTAATTTTGGTGTTTTGGGGGGCGGGGGGTTGGTTTTTTGAGACAGGGTCTAGCCCTGTAATTCAGTAATTCAGGCCAGCCTTGAACTATGTAACCCAGGCTGGCCTTGAACTTATGGCAACCCTCTGCCTTGGCCTTTGGAGTGCTGGGATTACAGGTGTCAATCGCTATATGCCTGGTTACAAAATTGTTGTTTTAGCTGGGGATTTAGGGCAGTGGTTCAGTCGCCTGCCTCCCAAGTGCAAGGTCCCAAGTTAGATCCCCGTTACAAAAAAAAAAAAATGTTAGGGGCCAGGGGGTTTAGCTCAGTGGTTTCGTCGCCTGCTGCACAAGTACAAGGACCCGAGTTCGATATCTGGTACCAAAAAAAAAAAAACAGACTGTTTGCCGGGGATTTAGCTCAGTGGTTTCAACTCCTGCTATGAAAGTGCAAGGACTGGAGTTCGATCCCCAGTACCAAAAAAAAAAAAATTGTTTTAAAAGACCTACATTCTATTAAACTGGAGACAAAAATAAAAACTGGAAGTAACATTTACTCATATGGAAAAGTATAACTGGAGCTTTTCTTTGGAGAAGGGGACAATGAGATGTCTGCTATTTCTGTACCATTGGAGGTTTTGTGAGACCAAATTACATATTGCTTGGCAAATAGTACCTTTAACCCCTTAGAGACCTGTGCAACAAGAATCACTGGGGAATATCTGTGTTGTAGGTGTTTCCAGCCATAGTCTGTCTGCAACAAACTCATCATTCTGAGTACAGATCAAATTCAGACAATTATTGTACTGTATTTCTGAGGCTTCTGGAGCAAGAGCTATTGAAGAGATTTTAACTTATTGGTGGTGGAAGCAGTGGCCATTCATACTGTTGCTCTGCAACAGGGGTGACCTTAGCCTAGGGGACATCTGACAACACCTGCAGGCCTTCTCTGGTTGTGACACCATAGGAGCAGGCTATGTGTGCACTACGATGGGCACCTAGTGGGTAGAGGCCGGGAGTGCTATCAAACACCTCCAAACCAGGGAGTCCCCTGTGCAGAGAACATCGGGGTCTAAATTGCCAGAGAGTGTTCAATCTGAGGGACACCAAGGTAGAGGTCGATTACTTGGTTTTGCTAGAACACAATACACACCCCACGAGGCTATGAGGTTCCTACAGGAAGTGATTTCTAGGTGTGTTTGCTTTTTAATTTCTCTCTTTCAGTTCCCTTTCCTACACATGAGCATAGTAACCTCACATTTCATGATTAAAGGAGGACACTGAACTGACTGTATAAAACAATTTCAGGTATATTACAAAAATCTGCTCAACTCGGAACCTGGTAGGCCTACCTCCTACACACTGAGACTAGTGACCTGGTGTGAGGAAAAGGTCTTTTATTTGGTGGTGGTGGGGTAAAAGGGGATTGAACCTCAGGGCTCTGCACTGAGCTACATCCACAGCCCTTTTTAAAATTGAGACAAGTTCTCACTAAGTCTCCCAGACTGGGCTCAAACTTGTGATGCTCCTGCCTTAGCTTCCCAGAGTGCTGTGATTTCATACAGTTGCTCTCCTGCCTAGCTAGATTCAGAGTTTGGAAGCAACAGAGAGTGAAGGTTACAGGCATAGACTACCTGTCTCCCAGTCCCATTTCAGTGGAATACTAACTGCGAATACCTGTGTCAGTTTCCTCATTTGTTAACTGGGGATAATAAGCACTTCCTTGCACATAACAAGTCAAAGCCTGGCACAGTCAAGACCAGTAGCGAAAGCTGTTGTCCTTGCTCCTGTCTTCTATCCCTGACCTAAGAACTCTCATCTTCCCAATTCATCTCCATGTCATCCTGTGGAAATGGCAAGATCCCTCCCCAAAGGCCCAGTCCTTGGCACCCGGCATGGGCAGTTTGTCAGAACCATATGGTGGGGCCGGGGATTTAGCTCAGTGATTTTGCCGCCTGCTGTGCAAGTGCAAGGACCCAAGTTCGATCTCCAGTACCAAAAAACCCAAAAAGAAACAACTGTATGGTGGCTGAGGAGCAGAGGAATTGAAAGGTAAGACTTTGGAAATAATGTGAATGTATTTTGGGTAACAAGAACTGAAGGTTATTGCTATACTTCACAAATTTTTTACTGTGGTTCAAAAACAAAAACAGAATAATATATTCATCCTTCCAAACTATCCTGTAACTCCCTGTTCTGGAATGTGCCATTGAACCACCAACTTCTAGGACAAAACGAGCAAGCTTATTCAAATCAAATCTTGAGTTTTCTGATTTGGGTGATATTTTAGTCTGTTTGAATTACTGTGCCTATTTAAGTGGGGATCACAACAGATTACAAGTTCCATACTATCACAGTTATGTAAGAGCTGAAATATGAGGCTTCAAGCTGCTTTACAAACATTAATTGTACAATCTATTTTATCTCCCTCCTTTTTTACAGCTATGTTAAAGTCAACAGATTTTTTTCTGATATTTTGACCACTGGACATGAAATTTAAACATAGCCAGTGATTAATCAGTACAGGGTATGAATTCAGCTTTCGTGTATTCAAATATTGAACAAATTTCTCATAGAAACTAAGAATCTTCCCTCCAGAAAGATTTTCTCAGGGATTTTAACAACACTGAAAAAACTAGTTGTTTGTTCTGCATGTTCTCTTTCAATGACTCCTAAGGCACAAAACATAAGTACATTGGTTAGAAATCGCTCCATGACTCATTTATTAACACAAACCTATTTGTTGTTTTGTTGAAATAGTAAATTTTTATATATTTATCTTTTTTTAGGAGAGGATCTTGCTATGTAGTCCAAGCTGGCTTCAGATCTCATGCCAATATTGTAAAAACAAACAAACAAAACCATTCTAGCTTTGGTATGGAAATTGCACATACTTTCTTTGGTTATTTGCTAAATTGTGCATGTTTTACATTCTCTATGCATTTTCTGTCTTGCATGGAAACATTTTTAATAAAATCCTTATAGCTTAAAATTCTTTCACATACAGGGAGAACAAATGTAATGAAGTATTAAGGGAGTTCATTCTTTTTTTTTTTTGGTACTGGAGATCGAACTTGGGTCCTTGCACTTTGCGAGGCAGGCAGCGAAACTGCTGAGCTAAATCCCTGGCCCAAGAGAGTTCATTCTTAAACTACAACAATACACAAGTTGAGACATTTTGGCTCTGAGACAAATCAGCATATTTTCCACCAGAAAAAGTTTACCTTTGTTTTTCCAAATTATGAGCTGAAATTTCCATTTTTCTGAGCAGAATGAATAAATGTCCAACAGAAAAATGGGTACAGAATTACTTAGTCCGTCTTAGCTAGAATAAGAGTGGGGCAAAAATACCACAGAAGATGAATCAGAACTCGATTCTGTCATGAGGTGCAGCAATTCATGCAGTCGAAAGAACAAGTCCACCCAAGCACTTACCAGGACAGTTGCAGGCTGGCACTTCTGCATCTTTTGTCGCAGCTACTAGGTTTTTGGCAGGATTAGTGAGGAACTTCATGGCATAATCATGAAAATTCTTCTGTGCATTGTCTACAGGGGAAAACTCCGATGTTCCAACACCAGGTGAACAGACTTCCTCTTCACTTTTGGGAGAAACCACTGTAATTCCGCCTGAACTGACTACATTCAGGTTCCTGAGAATCTGTGCTGGGTCTGGCAAGGGGGTCTCTGGAGAGACAGCGGTTGGTGCTGCCAGTCTCTGGGGTCTGAGGTGCTCTCGGGCATCCTGCGGAAACCGTGTTTGGTCACTGCTGGCCACCAGGTTAGTGCACTGGTTAGGAGGACGGGAGGGTGGGGGTAAGGGGTAAGCTTTCAGGTTGCCATTGACTGTTGCCTGTACCTGAGGACTATGGGCTTTATCTGCACACACCTGCTGGTGGGATTTGGCCTCAGGATAAAACACTGGAAGGGAATCCAGTGGTTCAACCTTCACCATTTTCTCCTGTGCTAATTCAGAATATCGCTCAAATTTGATCTGACTGAGGGGAGGAAATAATTTTTTGTGTTGTAGGGTGGTACTGGCTTGAGCCAGTGGTTTCAGAACTTTGGAAATGGGAGGAATTTTTCCCAGCAGAAGAGGAAAATCATGCGGACCAAACTGACCAAATCTTTGAAATTTGGATCCGATCCAAATGTCATGTAACTTACTATACTCATAGGACATATGCTCCTGCTGCTTCTGATCATTTTCTTGACAGGTTACAACTGTGGGCTTCTTTTTCCGCCGATCTCTTTTAGGGGTAGACTTTGCCTTTTTCTGGGTTGTGTTCTTTTGCTTTCCTAAAGATGAACTATGATTGTTTTGCACACTTGAAGGTGGTTTCTGTGGCACCGTGCCCTTCTCCTGACTATGTTTTTGATTTGCATTATGGGCAACAAGGCTTGTTGGTGGACTCTCAGCATTCTTGTCCTCTGCCTTTATATAATTGCATTTAATTATTGATGCAAGTTGTGTTAGCTGCGTTGCAACATCTTCCTCAATTTGGCTGTAAGATGTGTCCTGACTTGATGAATCTTCCTTGGAATTCAAATTTTCACTCCTGTTGAGCAATTGGTTACAGTATCCCAATTTTTTACTTGTTGGTGGCAACTGATGCAAATCATCAAGACCAGTCCTACTTCCACTGACACTTTTATTAGTATTCGAAGAATTAGCTTTTGGTATTAAAAAAGATATTGAATTTTTGACTTTTGAATGTTCAAGAGGCTTTGTGGGTGCTTGGTTAGTAGCAGAGCCAATCTGTGGCTTGGACAGAGTATTCTGGCCATTGAACACTGCTGTGAGGCGGGAACTTTGCTTTTCCAGAGAAGAACGATGAGGAAGGCTTTGAGGTTCCCCATGGAAGTTAGGGTCTTGAAGGTCTTTTCTTACAGAGTTGAGGATGGCTTTGCAGCTGTTAAGCAAACTAGCTGTTCTCTGAGCTGTTTCGTCCTCCTTCTCTGACTTGGATGGTGAGGAGTTCTCTGACGGGGCTTCAGAGAGTTGCGTCAGGGCCTCGATGGCGACCACTTGCTCTAGCGTGAGCCTCCTGTCTTTCATGAGGGAGAGGAGTGTGGGCTGCATGGGGGAGCAATCTCGAGGGTCTTTACTCACTCTGTTCTCGGGGGTTTTAGGTTGGTCACCTTCACTGTGTGTGCTGGTCTGACTGTTTAAATTTGGAGAATCTTCAGATTTGCAATTAAAGCCTGGCTTTTGGAAGATGAAGATGTTACTCTTGTCCTTGAGGTGATCACAGCTCGTACCAGTGGAGCTCATGGCATTGTTATGGTTTGCAGTGTCTTTCAGGAGTTTGTAGGGATGGTTTCCCAACGCCTTGCCGAATTCTTCAATACTGAATTTGTTAAATGGTGTGTTTGCTTCAGCTGCTAGACAGGGCACATTTTTAATGCCATTTCTTAATGTTTGTGCAAACAATTTTGGAGGTTTGTTTGGCTTCTTGTCCTCTTCAGGCTGCTTTGATTTTTCAGCTTTGGTGACATCTGCACTGAAGTCGCCATTGACATGCTCGAATAAATGTGATTTCTTGTTTTGCATCCACCTCTCCACCTCGATACCTGTCATGCTTTCATTTTTCGTCACATTTTCAAGGGTTTGGGTGTTTATTTCCAATCTTTGTTCTTCCCCATGACCACCGCTACTGTATTCCATGGATTCTGACTTGAGGCCATTTACTGGTTTGTTTTCAAAATCTGCCTGTAAAATAAATCCAGAAATTAGTCATCTACTTATATATCCAAACAAGAGTCATAGAAACTACAACTGAGTTGGCAACTGAATGTGAAGCCTTTGTAGATACAACCTAAAACACTGATACTTTACATTTGATATATTCAGAGAATTCAAAAAATACCAAAAAGCGGAGTGTAGAAGTAAAGGAAAATGAGAACCTATTTGAATCCTACACCTATTGGTATTTTGGTCTACTCGTGTTTTCCCAACTTAAAAATTTTTTTGGTGTGTTTTTGTTTTTTTGAGTCAGGGTCTTGCTTTGTAGTCCAGACTGGCCTTGAACTGGCAGAGATCCTCCTGCTTCAGTTTCCCCAGTGCTGGAATTACAGGTGTGTGCCCCCAAGCTCAGCTAATATTTTCACATTGGAATCGTTAAATAGGCAATACCTACCCTTTAAACACAAATTGAAGTACAACACACACACAAATGTACAAATCCCAAGGGTACAATTTGTTGAATTTTCACAAAATGAGTACCTATATACTTAGATCCCAAACATGAACTGCTCTGTTCTGTTCACAAGTGGTAACCATTGTCCCAGAATCTAACATTATAGATTTCTCAAGCTTATTTTCAAAGTTTCTATGACTGACTGCTTTCTATGGAAATTACAGTTGTGAAACAGGTCTATCTTGTTCTGTTGATGCATGGTGATTCCTGCAGAAAACAATGAACTCTCCATTAATCTATTCTACTGAGAGGGAGCTTTCCCTCATTTTTAGTTTTCAGCTAATCTAAGTAAGTATACAGCTGTAACATCCCAGTGCTGTCTTTTGGTGAACACACACACATGCTGGTGATAAGGTGTGCATATGGAGGCATGATAAAAAATATGGTTAATGTTTGTCCATTTATTTTTTGGCATTTTGAGACAGGGTTTCACTGTGTAGCCCAGGATGACCTTGAACCTGCAGTGATTCTTCAGCCTCAGCCTCCTGAGTGCTGGGATTATGTCACCAAGCCTGGCTTGAGGGAAAGGAAAAAAGGGGAAGGGGAAGGGGAAGGGGACGTAAAAAGGAAAGGAAAGGAAAGGAAAAAAAAGATGCATTGCGCCATCAACCTTAAAAATACAGGACCAGGAAAAGAATTAAAAGAATCATAGCACAGTGATATATGCTCACCCATGTTTATAGCAGCAGTTTGTAATAGCTAAAACTTGGAAACAGCCCAATTGCCCATCAACTGGAGACTAGATAAAGAAGATGTAGGTTTTTTATAAAATGAAGTACTGCTCAGCCATAAAGAATAAGAAACTAGGGGCCGGGGATTTAGCTCAGTGGTTCCAGTGCCTGCCTTGAAAGTACAGGGTCCCTAGTTCGATCCCCGGCACCAAAAAAATAAAATAAAATAAAAAATTAAGAATGAGAAACTAGAGACATTTATAGCTAAGTGAATGCACATTGAGGCCATACTCTTAAATGAGATAAATAGGACACACATGTGTAAATACTGAATAGTTTCTCTGGTGTGAAAAACAAAGTGTAAATAAGAATCAAAATGTATAATTGAAATTGTGAAATAGTAAGAAAATGTTTAAAGGAGTAGGGAAAGTGGGAGGGGAAGGGGAAAGGAAAGGGGAAAGAAAAAATATGAGAAAAGGAAAAACATGGAAACAAAGTTTTTGTAAATAGGGAAGCGTGGAGGGGGTGAAGGGAGGGCAGGGGAAGGGGGAAAATAAAAGAACCAAGATACATCATGTAAAGGTACAAGATCCCAGTGATGAATGTAACTGTATTGTATACCTAAAATGTACCAATAAACTTAATGGAAAAAGAAAAGTACAGGGCTGGGGGTTTAGCTCAGTGGCCCTGTGCCTGCTTCACAAGCACAAGGTCCTGAGTTCAATCCCTGGTACCAAACATACACACTCCCCTCCCCTGTTAGAACATACTTGTCCTGTCATTCCTTCCACTTCCTGGAGCAGTTCTCGAAGTTCTCTTTTCTAAGTGTTTTAGTGTCTTTATTTGCCTAGTCCTGGCTGCCTCGATGTCCTGACCAATTAAAAAAGTTTACCGTTCAGTCATTCTTTGAGGAAGACCAAAAATGAAGAAACCACATGGTACCAGGGCCAGGGATTTAGCTCAGTGGTGCTGCCACTTGCCCTACAAGCACAAGGACCCAGGTTCAATTCCTGCTAACAAAAAAAAAAAAAAAGAAAAGAATGTAAAATATGGGACCATTACCCAAGTTTATAAACATCTAAAAACCCTAGAAAAGATAACTCTTGCTCATTTCTTGATCAGTTATAGGTTACACAGATGCATTCAGTTTTTGTCGAAATTCATCCAGATATGCAATTATCTTGTGTATATTTTTCTGCACAGTATGCATATTACAGGGTAGTAACTTCTAAAAATATATGAAATTGGGACCCGGGGTTCAGCTCAGTGGCACTGTGTCTGCCTCGAAAGCACAAGGTTGTGAGTTGGATACCCGGTACCAACAAACAAACAAATACAAAATTAAGGCCAAGGGGTTTATAAAAAGGAAACAGTACAAAAAGATGTTATTACAAAAGCAATGGAACTGAGGGTGTAGTTCAGTGGTGGGGTGTTCCCTTACGTACGTAAGCCCTGTGTTTGATCCCCAAAAGGGAGAGGGCAATAATACTTTTCAATGCACAGAGTAGACTAAAAATTAGCAAACTAGCTGGTCAAGGTGGCAGATACCTATAATCCCAGCTACTTGGAGGCTGAGGCAGGAGGGGTGCAACACTGAGGACAGCTTGGGCAATTTGGGAGACCCTATCTCAAAACTAAAGAGAAAAAAAAAAAAAGGCTTTGGGATATAGGTCAGGACTCCCTGGGTTCAATCCCCATTATTGCAAAACAAAAAAGCCCTGGCATTTCTAAAAATAAAGATTCAATTAATTGTTTAATGACACAAGCCGGACACAAATGTAATTCTGTCAGCCCAGAGGCCAATGCAGCAGAGGGCAAGGTTGAACCCAGGCAGGCCAACCTATGGAGATCACAGATAGAGTAAAAAAAGTGTTGGATGTAGCTCAGTGGTAGAGTGCTTGCCTAGCATGCATGAGGCCCTGGCTTCCATCTCCAGCACCACACCCATACCTACACTCACACCCAGAGAAAGTCTGACCCAGGCCTCAGCAACATAAATAATAGATAATTTCAACTCAAAGAGTTATAAGAATTCTGGACAAATCAACCGTACTAAATAGACAAAAGTATTCCTCTACATGGAAGGCTGTTTAAAATTAAACAGACTATCAGGTTGCCAAAATAAGACATTGTTTATTATGACAAGGTTTAGCAAATTGTTTTTCTGTAAAGGGACAGAGAATAAATACTGTGGGCTGTACATCTCTGTCACAAGCATTGCTGTTGTATTAAGCAAGCGGCCACAGATAATTTGCAAACAAATTACTGTGGTCATGTTCCAATAACATACTATTTATGGACACTAAAATGTGACCTTCATATAAACTACACCACTCAGGCACAGAGTCAAGCTATAAGACTAACAAATGCCTAATGTGGTGCTGTACACCTGTAATCCTAGCACTCAGGGAGGCTGAAGCAGGAGAATCCCATGTTCAACCCTAGCCTGAACAATCTAGGAAGATTCTGTCTTCAAAAATAAAAAATAGGAAAAAAAATAGGGCCAGGGATTTAGCTCAGTGGTTCTGCCGCCAAGAGTAAGGTCCCAAGTTAGATCCCCAGTACCAAAAAATTTTCTTTAAATGACTGAGGATGTAGCTCAGTGCAAAGACCCTGTTCAATTGCCAGAACCAGAGGGGGTTAAAAAAAAAAAGTATGATGAGAGAGTGGAAAAATATTCACAACACATGTAAAGGGTTACGATTCTTAATGTGAATGAGTGAGTCCTCACCGCTGACTCAACATAAGAGTAAGAAAAAAATAAGCAGCCCAGACATGGAAATCCCAAGGGTTAAAAGTGTTCAGCTTTCCTAGAAGACAAGCAAATGAAAATGCAACTTCCCACTTATCCAGGTGGTATGAAGTAGACATGTACTTTTACCAATTGTAATGCAGCTTAACATTTACAATAGGGAATGTAGGAAATTAACAGAGTCTGGAAGGTGCACATTATGACATGCCCGGGGCTGAGCTGTCCAGACCGGAAGTCCGTGTCACTGATGCAGCCAGAGCTGCAGATCCAACGCTGTCCCTCCCTGTTTCAGGCACAGAAACATCCGTCTAGTGGGAAAGAAAAGCTGGCAGGATAAAACTAAAATGTCAATAGTAGTTACCACTGGAAAATGTCACTGAGGAAAGAGGGAGTTTGAGGGCTGTATTTTACCTGAGGCTTTTAATGTTACAGAAATGCTTATCCAAGAACACTGGGGTTTCTCGCACGCTTCTCTATGGAGAGCTCGTGAGGTCCTTTGAAGAACTGTGTGCCAGACAGACTATGGCACCGACTCTGTGCTCCTAAGACATTTCACTTAATCAACAAGCTTCATTAAGAACAGATAACCCAGGGCCGGGGATTTAGTTCAGTGGTTCCGGCGCCTGCCTCGGAGCCTGCGTTGCAAGTGCAAGTTCCCGAGTTTGATCCTCCGTACCAAAAAAAAAAAAAAAAAAAGAACAGATACCCAGAATCAGCAGTAATCACCTGTAATCCCAGCATTCAGGAGGCTGAGGCAGGAAGACAAAGGGTTTGAGGCTATCTTGGAGTACAAAGGGTGTTTTGGGGGCAGGTTGAACTACATAGCAGGACCCCTGCCTCAAAACATAACACAGAAAACAAAGTAAGCTGAACTTAGTTACTCCGTTATATCTCATGAGCACTGAGGACTGAACTCAGGAACTTCACAATGCTCTTTTTTTTTTTTTTTTTTAATTGCAGTGCTGGGCATTGAAACCAGGGCCTCACACGTGCTAGGCAAGCACTCCACCACTGTGCTGGATCCCCAGGCCTTTTTTATTTTTTGTTTTGAGACAGGGTCTAAGTTACTAAGTTGTCCAGACTGGACTCG